CAGCCGCCATAACCCAGACACGCTGGTCCAGAAGGCCCTGGGCGGAGCTACAGCCGGGGCTTGTGGGTAGAGCACTAATCCACCAGTCAGAAGCAGAGCCCTGAGGGCGGAGGAGAAAGGGGGCGGGGCTTCCATGCCACGCCTCCTCACGTGACAAAAACAGGAAGACATGTCAGACCAAGCCGGTATCCATGATTTCTAGATTCCCTTCAGACGGGAACAAATCTTGCTCGATTAGGATCATAAAAAAAGCCTTCAGGAATTCCAACGCAATCCAACAACGAAGTCAACGGAAAAACACGGACGAGGTGCTAAATTAATAATAATAATTATAATAATAATAATAATAATAAGAGTAATACCCACCCAAAACAGCTACCTACATCTAACGAATCAACTAGAACTAAAACTCTGCATCGCACTACAATCCAGACTAGATCCTCAAGTTGGCCGGGAGATTATCCATCTGAAGTCCGACACGAACACCATCCTGAAAAAAGCAGAACAGAGACGAGGACGAAACCAAACGAAGCCCAGAAAAACAGGGAGTGAGTCCCCGGGGCAGGCAGTGTTGACGGCGGTCCAGCCGATGGATCAAACCTCCCGAGACTAGCAGCGAACACCGAGACGTGAGCTGAAGTGCGGAGAGACCGGGGTGAATAAACACGGAGAGACCGGGGAGAATAAATCACGCAGGAAAGACTCCGGTATCCAGGACGGGCGGAGGAGAAGAGCAGCGTTTCTCATCACCTAAAGCAGACGCTTCAGCTCCGCCAGCGGGTAAATCCACACGCTAATGAAGCAGACTCTGCAGCATCACAGGCTCCATCATACAGCTGAACACGGCACTCGCTGTGTGTGTGTGTGTGTGTGCGGCAGTGACGCGGAGAGAGAGAGGGATGTGGCAGTGCTGAAGCTGAGGAGATGCTGCGCTTGTGTGAAAACACAGCCTGAGACTGAAGAGAGAGAGAGAGAGGTGGAGAGAGAGAGAGAGAGAGAGAGAGAGGGCGAGATGAAGAAAGAGAGAGGGGGTGAGCGAGACTGAGGTAGAGAGAGAGAGAGAGAAATGCAGACAAACACACCAGCAAAAGAGAGAGAGGCGGAGGAGGAGGAGGAAAACACATGCCGCTCACTGGTTCCCACACTCACTGACTGATTTAACCCAGTGAATGGCTGATTCTACTGGAGGAACGGCTCTGCTTCTCTAATGGAGACGTCGTGAGGACGAGAGAATCTTCTGCATCTCCTCTCCAGTATTTTTGTTTTTTGTTTATGATTCATGCTTTTTTTTAATTTTCTTCAATGACTCATTTTAATATCCCCTCTCCCTACCCCACCCAACAGCGTGTCAGAAACACAAATCCAATGTGGACTGCTATCTTGAATACAACAAACATAAATAAACAAAACACGCTCAAATAGAAGATACTATTCAACAGTAGATTAACAAGACTAACAGTTTCTCTAGACTACTCATCAGTTTCTACTGGACTAGACTACAACAATTTCTACTCGGCTAGACTATTCAACAGTTTCTACTCGACTTGACTACTCTATAATTTCTACTCGACTTGACTACTCGACAGTTTCTACTCGACTAGATGACTGTCAGACTCTACAATTTCTGCTCGGCTAGACTACCCCCAAAACATTATATCACAGGTCAAGGTGATTTAAAGCTGTTAGGAGAGGACGTGTAATTCAGTGGTTGTGATCTCAGAATAACATAGCTTGGAATGTTGTGACTGACCAATCAGACTCGAGTATTGAAGAGTAACATCTAATTAAAGGTACACACTCTTGTTTTTTTATTTTTGCCGTCCCTGTGAATGGAACCCACAGTCTCGCAGTTGTTAGTCCACTTTTTAAGTAATAGAAGTCCACACTGATTTCACAGCTCCAGACTCTTGCTCATCATGGCTCATTAGTGCCTGATTTAGATTCTCCATGTAAAATCTACTATTCTAACCGCTAAAACTCACTGAATTCTTTTAGATATACTCTACAACACTAAATGCCATTTTCACAATATAATGCCAAACATACAAGACAATTAACTACGAAAGACAAAGACTAGATGACCTTTTCAAACCATTGTTTAGCAAGGCCTTATTATAAATATAATGTCACTAACTTTATCCTTCAACTCATCTTCTGAAACTCATCATAAATTATAGAATTAAACACCTATTCCCCAATGAAAATAGTTTCATGTTTTGTATTTAACTGTGCACCATTACCTTATTTAGTATGCAAAAATTCATGAATATGCTAATTAGTCCCTGCACCAGCATAACCTGCCCCACTTTTACTCAGTTAGCGCTGTATTAAATGTTTTACAGCGGTGATCTCAGATTAATGTTTATTGCTACTTCAATCACTGCGGCTTTGAGAGTGAATCTATAATTCATATTATATAAATCTAGAATGCACACACAGATCACTCCTCTTAGTTCGTCACAATCTCACGTTGTACTGTTCTGCTATAATCAATGGAGCTCTTCAGATTGCAGAGTGGATTTTATTTACCGTGCATTGTGTCTATGCTTTGTAGGATATAATGAGAGGATATTATCAGCCTTTGGCTCGATTATTTCTCATCGTATCTCCGACAGCTAACTAAGAGAAATCATCATCCTTCAATAGAAATACCAGCAAATGCACTTACAGATGAAGACTGTGTTATTTGCTCTCCTCTACAATGTTATGCTTTCAAATAAGTGTAGTTTAACAGATACCATAACACATTTTCACGATAATAACAGTTTTAATCAATGATTTTGCTTGTCATTGCCATGATGACAGTGCATAACATTTTACTATTTCTGTTAATAATATCATTGTTATTCTGTCAGATACTAGTATTCAGCTGAAAGTGCCATTTAAAGGCTTAACTAGGTTAATTAGGCAAGTCACTAAACAACAGTGGTTTGTTCTGAAGACCTGAAAAAAGTAATTTCTTAAAAGTTTTGACTTCTTAAAAAAATTATATTTAATTCCAGCCAAACTAAAAGAAATAAGACTTTCTCCAGATGGAAAATATAGTAGGTAATACTGTGAGAAATGTGTCCATGTGTTTATTTAATTAAATCCCAGTCTAGACAATATCAAAGTATTTATTATAGTTTAATATACAAATCACACACTAATGGAGAAGAGCGGTGGTCTGATGAGTGATAATAATAGGACTAAAGTATGATTATGCTGATGAGAAGGTTCTGAAATGTGCCGTTTCACTTCAACAGAGGTGAGCATTTCTAAATCAAGACTTAATGAATCTACAGAGATATTAAAATGTATCTGCACCCAAAACTATAGAATTTAAATCTTTGTAAAGTCAGTGCGGTGCTCTGGAGGCCTATATACAGTAGCCAATATAACTTTAGATTGAGATATATTGTCTATATTGTACACTGAATATATAAAGCACTATTATAAAGGAATTGGATCTGAAACCAGATGGCTGACTAATGCTGCGTTCACATCAGACGCGGAACGCGCGTCAAGCGCAAGTGATTTACATGTTAAGTCAATGCAAACGCGCGAATATACATCCTGTGGCGCGATACGCGCGAATGACGTGAATTGCGCAAATGGCGTGGTGCGAATATCACGATACGCGTGAATGGCGCGGAGCGAATTCAGTATTTTGCGCGTTTGCCGCTCTTATCAATGTCGAATCTCTCGAGTTCGAAAATCTGAACTTCAGCGGACATTCGCGCCGCATTATTCAATCAGAAGCTTGCTCTTGTGGGAGCGTGATTGTGACGTAGAACCTGTTGATGGTGTCCTGGGGGAAATCCTCCAGGCGACACCGACAACAGTTCATCAAACTGGGCTTGGCTCAGTCAGAAGCACCGCTGAATATCTCTGTCTTCCAGGTTCAGTTTCTGGAGGAGTTTATGAGCTCACAGAGCTGGATGCACCTCTGAAAGAATGCAGTGGACTCAGACACGATCCTAAACGTATTGACGCTGTTTTTCAGTCTCCATAAAGCACATTAACACTGTTATTTTCTTAATGAAATCCATGTTAGCCATTTAGCTATGAAGTTAGAGTCACTGGGCAGACAGAAGCCCTGCCCATCACGCGAATCCCTGTCTGTTTTGAAGTGAATTTGACACGCGATTGAAACGGATTTGACGCGCGAATGAAGCAAGTAAACTCAAATGTTCACGCAGCTATTTACGCGCGAATAGTGCGATTTATCCGTGCGTTCCGCATCTGGTGTGAACACAGTATGACACTGATGGTATTACTATATATTGTAGCAACGCCTCCACCTTTAACTTTTAAACTAGCCTCATGTTTAAAATAATATCCTTAAGTGGCAGACTCATGTAAGTCTTCTGACTGATCTGAGAACGCCAAAGCTTAGAATTAGTCTGGTTATCATGGGTTAGTTAACCAATATAACTGCTCTCAGATGAAGATATTCCCGCAAAAGAGCCACAAAGAGCATCATCACTACAAGACTCACCAACACAAATAACAGATCCGCATGAAGAAACACTCTGTTCCTGATGAACACAGGAGAAGCTCCTCACTCTCACACTGTGGAATAAAAGCGCCGGAGGGTTGGTTAGTTAGCTGGTTCACCTTGACCTGCCAAAGCCGAGAGATATTCTCGCTTTTCATCTGAACATGTTTTATTTGAGCAAAAGAAGAATTACAAGAGACAAACATCAGCTATAAATACCTTGGTGTTGAATATAAAGGTGTAAATGTGCAGTAAAGAGTCGTGAGCGTGTAGGAGGATCAAGCAGAAGTGGCTCATTAAACACTGTTGATGAATATTAATCTGACACCGTTAGTGCAGATCTGGAGAATCTGACCGGCTGAGGTGTGAAACGCAGATCTGGAGGAGCACCAGACCGCTCTGAAGCTGCAGCTCACCTGCGTCCCGTCGCTACTGAAGCCACACACACACACACACATGGCACAGGAGTCTAACATGATTACACACTCCGATCTGAAGTGCCTTCCCCTTCCATTACACGCTCCGGCAGGACGGCACGAGGCCCACAGCGAAACACGCTTATCAGAGAGTCCTGAAACCCATACACACACACACACTTCACTATAGCTGTCAGCTCACACACACTTCACTACAGTGGTCAGCTGACGCACATCAGCTCTAACCAGAGCCGTCAGCGCATTCAGAGTCAACATTAACAGCGTTACAATGTAAAAACAGCACATCATTAGCTGTGTTTCCATCCAGAGACACACAAAAACTGGATAAATTGCATCAAATATTTATGGATAAAGCAGTGTGTCCATCCAATGAAGCATAGGGAACACTGTCTTCAAATATCAGTCGGAGAAGTGCACTGGTGGGATTCTACACTGTGCTGTTTGTTCGCCTCTAATAAATGAGCTGCGCCTCAGAAGACCAAGACCGAATGCAATGAACGCTGTGGCTTCTGGAGGCATGAGACGGGAGTACAGACAGACGCTCAAGACAGTTCTGGAGGGAATAATAACAGAAGAAGAAGAATACTGAAGCACTGTGATGCAGACTGACGGAGGACTGAAGCCTTCACAATCAGCACAACAACATTTCACATCTGCACCAATGGAGAGCTGCAGACCAACATTGATGATGCAAACACACACACACACACCTACACATACACACACACACACACACACATACACACACACATTTATATCTGTCAAATCATCTGAGAGAGACCACAGTCCTGCAGAGTAGACACTGCTGAAGCCCAGAGTTTACTCACTACAGCTGTTTTTACTGCAGGTTATGTGCATTGTTTTCTTAGTTGATCCTACTCAATTGCACATTATCAACTGTTTATGTGATACTCCATAATGCACTTAAAAAATAGGTGGATGGAAACACAGCTGTTTACTTCTGTCTCTCGCTCTTCACAGCAAACAGAACTCATTAATGGAGCAGCCGGAAATAAATGATGATTTCCCAGAAATTAACCTTCAGGATCCCTTCATTTACTAATCACGCACTTGAAACGCCTCTCATTTATGAGGCCGTTTGAAGAAACATCAACAATGGTGACTATTTGTTTTTCCTCATTAAATGTGTTGCTTAAAATAGACTGATGAAGCCGCTCATTAATCCAGCAGTGCCACACTCTGAATATCTGCGTCAGGAACACATTACGCCTCTGTTTATTAGCACTGTTAGTTCAGTTAACCATCACTGCTGCTCATGATGCCCTGATCATACCTCTTCATCTCTGGAGCAGCTTGAGGAATATTAGAGAGAACAGCCTAGAGCAATACATTAGAAACCACTTCACCTGATCACAGCACTGTTCTGCCCTCACATGATGTGCACGACATCGCAGCTCTATAATCACATTTGTGTTTCAGATATGTTGATTTATCATTCAGTCCTACTAGCAAACACGTAGAAACACTCTAGAAATTGCACAACAACTACCTAAAATAATACTAGAGATGTTTTGCTCCCTCTACAGATGCGCTGTAACATTGCGGGGCATAATCAGGTGGATGGGGAACACCCGAGTCTAAGTGTGCCGCTCTTTTATCAGCATCCTGACACTGTTTGAGACAGACTCTTTTCCCAATGCTAAGGGTTGGACGGAGACCAGCGGTGTGCGAGTTGGCGAGGCGTTTTGCCTAATGTTTGGTCACAGTGGGCTTAAAAAAACTTTTGAAACGTGACTTTTGGCTTCCCCCTCTTATTTTTCTTGTTTTGCCTCGAGGGAGTAACAGATGTCCAGATCCGATCACGTGATGGTAAATCAGGCCCTATCACATGGTTTTTAGACTAGATTGTAATCAAACGTTACCTCCCAATCAGGACTCGAATATAGATCAGGGCTCTGGATTGTGCAACCAAATTTCTTAATGGTGCGACTAAAATCATTCAGAATCATTCATTCACACTGGTGCAACCAGCTATTTGATGGTAAAAAATAAATGCATATTTAAGTCTCTGCGACAGTGGTTTAACATTCAAAAATATAATATTTCGATAAGTTTTGTTATTGGATTATTCATAATGATATGATCTTGCTTTTGGTTATATCGATATCAGCTCTGATCTCTCACGAGCGTCCTCGCTCACCAGCAGCGGTTGGCATGCGCTGCATAAAGGCACTACAGAGCCCCATCTCCTTATCCAATTCATGTTTATTTATATAGCACTTTTACAATGTAAATTGTCTCAAAGCATACATAGTTCTAGTAAAGTCCAGTGTTCAGAGCTGAAGTTCAGTTCAGTGTGCTTTAATCTTCACTGCTGAGAGTCCAAACACTGAAGAGCAGATCCATCCATGCACAGCTCCACAAGACCCAAACCAAGCAGGACAGTGGTGACAGTGGCAAGGAAAAAACTTCCCCAATTGACTGTCTTTTAATTATCTTTTAATTTAAAAATCTCTCANATGAACATAAGCTATAAGATAACATAATCTCCCTCAGAGATTTTGGAGTTCAATAACATGGTGTGCAGTAGGGTTGGGCGATGTTGACCAATTTGGCGTCGTACAATGTCTAATATAAAACACCGCGATGGACGATGGCATCCTCTTCATAGGTGGGGGTGGTGGTTGTTAAATATCAATTAATTCATACTGAATTAATTATTTGTAGCCTTCCGTTTTCACTACCTGACCCACATCGTCTTTGCTTTACCCAAAACCAAAACATAAATATATAAAGTTACAAAAAAATCCTGTCAATCACTTTTTTCCACAGGACTCTGGCATGAATAGGAGTGTGTGTGTGTGTGTGTGTGTGTGTTTGTGTGTTTCCCAGAGATGGGTTGTGGCTGGAAGGGCATCCGCTGCATGAAAATGTGCTGGATAAGTTAGCAGTTCATTCCGCTGTGGCGACCCCGGATTAAAAAAGGGACTAAGCCGACAAGAAAATGAATGAATGCTTGCCCCGCCTTTGTGCTTTTCTTATTGGTCCACTGCTCTAGAACTGAACGCGAATGATTGGTTAATATCAGCTGTCAATCACTCAGTCAATGCCTTCTGCCTTCAGATGACAGGAGCTACAACCGTGAAAATGTGAAGCGCGTGATGGGTTTGCAGGTAACGGCGTTTGCCACTGAATCTACACATGTTAAGTGTGAGAGGTGCTGTATAATCCTTCATTTAATCCTCACCATGCTGTCAGCTATATTTATCATTTAACACAGCTCATGAAAAGACCGTTATTGCTATTAAGATGACTTGCAAATAATAAGTCTAGCATCAATATAAATGTGGGGCGAGGCGATGGATCGCGATGCCGGCTCAGCATCTTGAAGTTTATCGGCCATCGGCGATGGACGTTGGCATCGTTTATCGGCCCAACACTAGTGTGCCTTTTAAATACCTTTTAAGGACCTTAATTTTCACATAACTAATTTATCAACTTTCAATACTTTTCAAGACCCCGCAGACACCCAGTTTTAAGTTGGGCTGTTTGTTTATATATTAGATTTTTTACATATTTACTGCTGCACTTTGTTAACACATCAGTTGCTGAATGCTAAAATAAGGTGAATTAAACAAAACTATAGGGAATATCCTGGATCTGTTTCTTCACTATCAAAGGCAAAAAAAAAAAAAAAAAAAAAAAAAAAAAACAGATCGGGACATCTTTATACAATACCCAAGCAACTGCACAGCAAAACTTTAGCAACCACCTAGAACACTATAGCAATTGCACAGTATCTACATAAAATAATCTAGCAACTGCACAACACCCTAGCAACCACCTAAAACACCCTAGCAACCCAAAAAGCATGTACATAAAGTAATCTAGCAATTGCACAACACACTAGCAACCACCTAGAACACCCTAGCAACTCCACAGCGTCTGCATAAAATTATCTAGCAACTGCACAACCCCCTAGCAACCACCTAGAACACCCTAGCAACTCCACAGCGTCTACATAAAATAATCTAGCAACTGCAAAACACCCTAGCAACCACCTAGAACACCCTAGCAACGCCACAGCGTCTATATAAAATAATCTAGCAAATGCACAACACCCCAGCAACCACCTAGAACACCCTAGCAACCCAAAAAGCATGTACATAAAGTAATCTAGCAATTGCACAACACCCTAGCAACCACCTAGAACACCCTAACAACTCCACAGCGCCTACATAAAATAATCTAGCAACTGCACAACACCCTAGCAACCACCTAGAATACCCTAGCAACGCCACAGCATGTACATAAAGTAATCTAGCAATTGCACAACAACCTAGCAACCACCTAGAACACCCTAGCAACGCCACAGCATGTACATAAAGTAATCTAGCAATTGCACAACAACCTAGCAACCACCTAGAATGCCCTAGAAACCTCACAGCAACACTTACAACCGCACAGCAACCCCCAGCATCCGGCCAGTGTACAGAGGCAGCTCTTCGGGTCTGTTTTCAGTGGGCTGTGCTGTGGAACTGCTGCTCTTCTGTCTGGATGTTAATTTAAGGCTCATAGTAAGCTCTTCACGACTCATTCCACATGATCTGCTCCCCTTCAGCACATCTCTGTCTCTCCGCTCATCTTTAATTGTCCAGCTCTCCTCTTTCCAAACATCACAGCGGCAGAAGAAAAACTCTTCAGTCTTCAGAGGAGCAGACGTGTGGATTCTTCAGTGCACATCACCGCTGAGTTTCATCTCAGTGATTAATCAAATCAGCTCGAGGAGATTAAAAACACAATTAATTCAGCATTCGTCAATATTCAGTGTGCTCAGACTCTTTCTTACGGGTGCTAATGAACAGCATGGATTCTCCTAGCACCTATTTTATAGATAATTAATTACACCAACATCCAAAACAGGAAAACAGAGTCTGCACAAAATGAAGCCGGCTTTTAGGACTGCCATTCTTCATCATGACGTTACTTTATATTAGTTTACCATCACTGCAATGCAAAACATACACCTAACAACTGCACTGCAACATTAGTAACCTTTCAGTGCAAATCTTCAGCTAAAGGTGTGTGTGTGTGTGTGTGTGTGATGAGTCCAGCGCTGCTATAGTCACGT